TTTGAACCGCCAGCCTTCTGGTTAGCAGTCAAGTGCCTTAGCCACTATGCTACCAGAGCTCCCCCCATAAAGATTACAGCCTAGGAAATCCTATGGGGAAGTTCTACTCAGTCACATTGGGTTGCTATGAGTAGGAATTGACTCAAAGGCACACAACAACAAACTGTGAGAAAATAAATTTCTATTTGTTAAAGCCACTCACTTGTGTATTTCTGTTACAGCAACACTTCATAACTAAGATAATGCTTTAGATCTTAAACTGTAGGATGAAATACATTTCGTATCAAAACCCAATACACACACACACCACTACCTCACAACTGAAACAAGTTTCATTAAACAATACTTACCCACACTATCTGCAATGTACTCTGGTCTTTTGTAGTCTCTTCTGTTCTTTTCTATTTCATCTGAAAGCTTTAAGTATGCTGGTTGTGGTCTCCCTAAATTGATTTTATAATCCACTATCTGATCACAATACACAAATTGAAAAGCACTGCCCTATAAAGCTCCCATGTAAACACAAGAGACCTAAATACGAATGTAGAATAGTCCTATAAGTTTATGTGAATGATCAGAATTCCCAGGTGTATAGTAGAGCTGACAAGGGGCAAGGTTATGGTCATTGCTTGGTCACAGCCAGCTACCCAGAGGGACCGAGTAGTTCATCCTGTGGGCTTGGGACCATAGTCGCAGGGGACATCAGGCTCAATTGGCATAACATACTATACAAAACATTGTTCCACCTCCTACTTTGGCGAGTAGCGACTGGGATCTCAAAAGCTAGCAAGCTGCCATCTAGATGCAACAATGGGTGTCTCCTCGTCAAGAAGAAAGAAGAAAACCAAATGAATGGAAACAATCAGTCCTAGCGACTGGTACACCATCTGATCTGCAACCTATACAACTATGAGACCAGAAGAACCAGATGGTGCCCGGCTACCACTGTCATCCACTTGGAAGAGATGTACGAGATCCTGCATAGAGAGGGAATACAATGTGGAACAAAACTCAAAATCATTTGGAGGCAAAAAAAAAAAGAAGGTGGGGACCAGGTTTGCTCGTCCAATAGAGCCTGGTGAAACCACTGAGACTATGGCCCCTAGCTGCCCTTCAGGTCTGGGATTGAAGCCACACCTGTGGTTTCCAGCCAAACAAAGAACAGGCAAATGAGTTAAACATTTACCTCAAGTAGACACACACCCTGGAGAGAACAATCATGGGAGAAGGAAGGGCTGCTTATGCACAGGGAGACAGCTCAGGGCGCAGAAGAGTATGGAGGGATGGACACTGGGAAGAGGTAACTATGGGGGAGGAAGTGGGAGGGGAGCTGTTGCATTGTAAATTTTGGTCAATGACATGAGACAAAGTATACGTGAACTGCTGTATGAAAAGTGAATTTACTCTGTAAATCTTCACCCAAATCAAAATAAAATTAAAAAAAAAAAATGAATGTAGGGCTTTACTATATTACTTTTACTGTCTTTTCAACTGTTGTATATAGTATTACATAGTAAAATTCACTTATCCAAGGCAGTTAACATTTTTATATTTGCACTGAAGAAATATACATGTGTTTACTGCAATATGGTTTAAAATTGGAAATAATCTAAATTCCTGTCAACAGATAATGAATAAATTGTACACTCACAATAAAATACCATATAGCAGTTAATGTGAATGATTACAGTTATACACAAAATTCAAATCTTACAAACATAATGGTGAATAGAAAAAGCAAGTTGCAGACTGAGAATGTACTGTGAATTTTAAGATACAAATGAATTCTATATATATGTAAGAAAAAGGATAACACATGTATGATCCCCTAGAACAAAGATGACATGTCCCAGCTTCCCTTATAACTGGGTATGGCCATGTAAATAAAGTTCTGGACAGGAGAAAATAAACAGAAGTGCCACTGGCAGCATGTAAAAATCTTCCTTAAAAGATGACTAGTATGTTCCTTTTGTTCCCTCTTCATTTTCCTCATGCTTGCTAAGATTTCATTACCAGAGATCCAACAGCCATCTCTGACCATGAAGAGGTACACACTAAGAAATGGAGGCCACAGACAGTGGAGCAACAAGTTAAAAGGAGCCTGAGTCCCAGAAGACTCTCTGGAACAGAGTAACCATACCAGTCCTGGTCTGCCTACTGCCTACCTCTTGACATTTAAGAAAGAAACTATTATGATATTTAAGCTACTGTATTTAAAGTCTCTATTATCTGTAGCAAATCTAATCCTAACTGATAAACCGCATTGTCAGATATCCCCAAGGAAAATAAAACTTGGTGGAGAAGACAAGATATAGGAGTTTGGAAAAACAGTTTAACACATATGGGCAATATGAAGAATAAGTTTTAAGATTAAGTAAACAAATTATTTTACATTTGCACTTAAGCTTCCTGAATCATTTGTGGTAATGCTCTTCAATTCCATGAATTCTACTGCAAAGTTTTTTCACTCCTATAGTATTTAATATTTCTCCTCTTCCCAACTAATATAGATAAGATTATTTTGAGTACTGACATACAATAACCACTCAATAACTATGAACTATTATTGTTTTTATTATTTCCAGTAAGTCAATATTTACTGAAATTCCTATCTTTTACCAGCTACTAATGCTCCCAGCTTTACAGTCACTAAATCTACTGAGCACTAATTGAGTGCCAGGTACTGCCATCATGGAACTTACTATACTGTACTTACACTGAACTATTTGAACTTCCCCTGCTTCTGGTCCTTTTTATTTATCATAACATCTGCTAGAGTGCCCTTCTTTCTTTCTTTCCATGGCTAACTCCTAAGTGCTCTTCAGGTTTCATCTTAGATACCATTTCCTCCAAAAGCCTCCCTAACCTGCACATGACGGAATCAAGGGTCCTTTCTCATATTTTACCGCTATTATAGAACTTGTCGCTCTATACCATAATTACTCAATGACTTGTCTACTTTCCTCATTAGTCTGTATGTTTCCTTTTAGTCAAGGACCATACTTTTCTGTTGAAATCTCAGTACCTAGCACAGTGCCTGGCATAGAGTAAATGATTTATGACTACATATGGGCTATAGCTGTAAGCAGAAGTTATTACCAGGACTGGCTTGTTCTCCGTCAAAACAAAAACCAAATTAAAAGTCCACATAAGGATCATACCCATAGGATTCTTCTTGTCTTTACATTTTTCCTTGAATTCGAGGATAATTTTTTTCATAAGTTCATCAACAGCTGCATTGGAAGGTGCACACACAAGAACACGGTTTTGTTTGATTTTGGCATTGGAGTTTTCATCTGAATATCCCTTCCTCTGGTTCTACAATGTGCCACACATACATAAAACAAAACAAAATACTGATGAGAACTATTATGTACTTTTAAAATTATTCTCTACTTCCATGTATGCTCAAAAGTGTCCATTATAGTTAAAAAGAAGTAAAAACACGTACATCTTACAATGACAGTAAAATTACTTTGGCATTAAATTTTATCATAATTATGGTGAGCCTTACCTTACCATCCCCTTATTTTAATCAGTACTTAATCCAACCACAATGCAGCCCAGGAATACATTCAAGATGATTTCCTGGCATTAGATGGGACATATAATTAAGCCAGAATAAGGCCATTCTAGCCCTCAGGATTAGTGTCACATGAAATAATGTTTTCTGCTCTTTTTACTTCTTACTCCCTCTGCACCCCACACCCCTTTCTCTGCTACAGTTCCACATAACATTATAAAAAATAAACATAAAAGTGAAAGGAAAAATAATTTTAATGTTTAATTATATGTGCCAGTTAATTCAAGTAAAGTAAAACAAAGCAATGTATTCAATTAACAGCCCCAATGCTCTCACTCATACTCTACCTCTGTCAGTAGGCGATATAAGAGGCCAACAATAGTTTTTGATTTTCCTGTTCCAGGTGGTCCATGAATCAGACAGATTTTGGCAACTGATGGTGAGTGTTTCACCATGCCATAGGCAGTTTCTATTGCTTTCTTTTGGTCTTCATTGAAATCTCTTAAGTAGGTAATCTACATAAAAGACAGTAGTGACATTTGAGTTGTATTTTTCTGGCACATGATAGGAAGATAATCAAAAACATCATTTGAATTTCTTCTAATCTACACTAGGCAACAGCTTTGGTTTTGGTCAGGCCAAACCCCAAAGTGCCTTTTAATCTAAGAGCTACTTTCATTACTAGAAGTAAAGTTAACTATTATTTACAAGTATCTGCAGGCTTCTCAGTCCATTTTACAAATACTACAACTGTATTTGTGTTTGTGATTCTTACAAAAAAGAGCAAAATAAATTATATTTACTTCCCTAATCTTCTAACTAGTCTATGGTTCTATTTTAGTTAATTCTTTCTTTTAACATAAAAATTAACTATTCAACACAATTTCTTTCTTAACACCGTATGATGTAGTAGAAAGAACATGTGGACTTTGGCGTCAGATTTGAGTTTAAACCTCAGTTTCACTTACCAGCTAGGTTACTAAAATCCTAACCTCTTGTCATCCATTAAACCTGGGATTCCTTAAAGGGTGAGATTTGAATGAGATAATGCATATGAAACTTCTAAGCACACAGTAAACCAAATCCTGTTGCTTTTGAGTTGATTCCCACTCACAGTGATTTAAAGGACAGAGAAGAACTTCCTCATAGCCTTAGAAACCCTATAAATCTTTATGGAAGCAGTCTGCCATATCTTTTTCCCATGACTGGCTGGAAGGTTCAAAGTGCTGACCTTTCAGTTAGCTGCTAAGCACTTTAAGCACTGTGCCACCATGGCTATCTTTGTGCCACCCAGGCACCTACTGCTATTAGCACCCAGTAAGAGTTTAAAAAAAAATTAGTTTCCTTTCTCCATGTTAGTTTCCTGGAATTTATACAGTTCTTACAGCAGAAATAAATGTTAATACAAAATGACAAGTTCATCTTCACATCTGCGTGTTACCTGTCAATTTTTTCTCTATCATTCAAATGTAAAATAAATTCATTAAATCTACTCTTATTCCTGAATTTTAATAACCTAACAAACATTTAAGGGGCATGCTGATCTAACATTTTAATGTTGTTCTTCAAGCATACTTTCAATTCTTTTTTGTACTGAACTGGTTTCCTGAGGTACACTAACTAAATTATATCCTTTGTGATATTAAAGGCATACATACACACTTTAAAGAAAACTAAGTACTAAACAATGTCACAGTGCATACATTTTAGTTACAGACATACAGGAGTATGTAGCAGCTAAAAATACGATGTTTTAACATTCTGACATAAAATTTTATGACTTTCCTTGGTATCAATCATCATTACTCACAATTCTCTCAGATGTTGTAGTTAGTAAATCTTTTGTACAGAAGTCCATGGGGTTTGGATTCAGAATAGCTCTGGCCAGTTGGTTTCGACCACTCAACAGAGACATGGCTTTCAACTTCCTTTGTGTAGTTACCAGAGAACTGATTACAATACATTTCACAAGCTCATTTACATTTACTGGCAAATTGTCTTGAGTCTGGATAGAAAGGGAACACTCGGATTTCCCATTACGCACTATTATCAAGAAGAATAAAAAGCAATTGCATTTACCAATAAATACTGCTGTCCAGTTAAAAAGGTTATTTAGAATTAGGTATTTTATAGCTTATGTTTTTATGTATTTATTTAATTATTCATTCATAAATATTAATTTAATGCCTCCTAAGAATCAACCAATGGTCCTGTCCTCAAAAAGCTTATTTTCGAGGAAGAGGAAACAGATAATTAAATAAACCTGCCAGATGGTGGTAAGTGCTATAAATGACCCAGAGTAATTAGCCCTAAAACCAAGGCTGGAATATGACTTAAGGTATAACAGATGGTCTGTAAATTATCTATTTTATAACTGTGGTGAAGTTACTTGTTATGGCTTTTCTAGTTATGGTCTCTGTGATTCCCACCAGATTACAGGATGGGACCATGCAAATAAGGTGTATGAAACTCTAATGTTGGGAATGGTTAGTTTTGTCACTCTGCCGGGCTTAAAATGAACCCTCCTAGAGGCAGAAAGGGGGATCTCACTGGTTCAAGAGAGAACAGCCAGAGGTGGAGTAAAGTGGAGCTCATCCTTGGACCTGAGATCCTTGTGCTGGACCTCCTTGGCAGAGACTCCTGGCAGAGAAGCCCAGCTGAGAGATGGTGGCAGCAACAAGACAGAGTGGTAGGCTTGCACACGGAGCGAGAAAGCTGACTGCCTTTGGGCAGGAAGCTTGCTGGGATAGCATGCAGCTAGGTGTACTTATTGGCAGAGCTAAAAGAGCTTTGTAACACTTGCCCAAGCAGGACAGAGGCCAGGCCAAGAGGCCCCAGACCAGAGAAGTGTGTCTGAGGGCACAGCAAAGGGAAGAATGTCTTGATCGAAGAACTGTATCTAAGAGAGTTCCTGAACCTGAATTGTAGCCTGTTACTTCCCTAATAAACTCCAAAATTGTGAGTATTGTATGTGAGTTGTGTGTGGCCACTGAAAGAAATTATCGAACCCAGCAGAGAACCAGTAATGGCTGTGGGAGATGGTTGGTGTCACAACTGGTAAAAAGGCTGCAGGGTGGCGGCATGTCTGGCCTCATAGGAATAATGTTTGGGCTGTTGATGGTGACTCTGTCTCCCCTTCTTGAGGTTGGAGGAGGTCAGAGAATGCCACCTCCATGTCCTTTATGCAGTAACAAACACTATGACAGATGAAAGAATATACCAAAAGGAAAGGACTATCATAAAAGAAAGATTTTACATCAGAAAACTATAGCAATAAATATTGGGTCTTTTCCAGGTGAGTGTAGGAAAAGGACTCTGAATGACAAGTAATCAGTACAGCAATTACACATCTGGTAAATGTCTATCAACTACATGGCTGATAAAGTATAATTTAGAGGAAAATTAGGAAATAAGCTTCTCTAACTTATCAAACAGATTAATTTTCAATGCTCATTATTTACTTACTGACTGAAGTACGGCGAAATTTATAAACATAACCACAATAATATTCATAGGGATCTTGCATGAGATTTCTTTGCATATCGTTCTCTCCATTTAGCCTTTCAGGAACCAAAAACACCAAATCATTTTCCTTTGGGTGAAGCTGTTTAGCCAGATCATTTTCCTCAAGATAAACTATAAAACAACAGTAAGTCAACATTTACAAAACTCTAACAAAATTACTTCAAAAGCTTAACTTAAAGGAAATTAAACCTTTGTACTAAGTTTAAATAAGTATAGAGCACTAAAGAACTTTGTAGTGTAATCTAATTAAAAAAATTCAAGTATTAATTAATTCTACAGTGTTATAGAATTTCTCTTAAAAACAGCTACAAGTCAAAACAGATGAATTCATAGTATTCAAAAATAGCTAATAAAGTTTCTCTCCTTTAGGTTTAGTTTAGTTTTTAATCAACAGATTCTTTTCTCTTCACTTTCAAAATTAAAGCAGTTACAATAACAAAGAAAAACTGTGGAATCTGTATAAAGTAGATATACAGATCAATGGAAAAGATACATCCACAATCAAAGTCAACTGATCTTTCCACAAAAGTGCCAAAGTTATTCAATGGGGAAAGGATAACCTTTTCAACAAGTATCACTAGAAGAATTAGATATTGGGGGGGGGAACCCTATACATGGTTATCTTAGAGAAAAATTAATTTCAACTGGATCATCGACCTAAATATGAATTAAAAGGCAAAACTGTTAGAAGAAAATTTTGTAACCATGGATTAGGCAAAGATTTCTTAGGGGACGAGAAGTATGAACCATAAAAGAGGGGGAAAAAAGAACAGAAACTGAATGTCATCAAAACTAAACCTTTTGTTCTTTGAAAGACTGTAAGAAAAATTGAGTCAACCTACAAAGATCTAAATAAATGGAGAGATATTCCATGTTCATGGATAGAAGTATGCCTAGATTGGTCACGAAATATTATTCTCTACTAAAAGACACCAAGGCGTCTTAGAAAGTTGCAAGGTCAGCTGTGGGGTAGAAAAATAAATACGATGAATCTGTAACATCCTGTCATACAAAACAGCCAGAAAGAGCTCAAAGACCACTAGGGCCCTGTCCATAGGGCACACCAGCCAACTTAAAGAAGCCAACTACACTGGACTGAAACACAGATGTATTTAAATCCACGAGTTCATACTGATATTTAAGATTAAATAAATAAATAAATAAACCTCATTACTCACTAGCACTTGCACTTTCATTATTTGGAAAAAGAACCAAGCATTTATTCTGCTTTTGTTTCTTACAGTATGTGATACTGAGTAATCCAGTAGTAGATGTAGAGAAATTTCTATAATGAATGAATGAATCCTGGAATTAAACATCAACATTTATGATTATCACTAAAGAAAAACTAGGTATTTTGTACCTCCCTAATGCATATGACTGCTAACCAGAAGGCTGGCAGTTCAAACCCACCAGTCACTCCTCAGAAAGATGGTTAGGCAATCTACTTCCGTAGTGATACTACCTTGAAAACCCAAGCAAGGGTCACTATGAGTCGGATCTGACTCAACAGCAGAGAGTTTGACAGTGAGTTTGGTCTTTGGTAATGAAGGAACACACCATCACCTACAAAACACTTTTACCAAAAAAAATTAAATAAAACCCAAATCTGATCAAGCCTCTAGATCTAACAACAATTTTACAGGACAGAAGACAGCAAAACATACTAAATACCATGGAGATACAATCAGCAAAATCCATACAGTGAGTAATTCTACAGAATAAAGGACTCAATTTATTCAACAAATTAAAATTGCGGGGAGGAGGCATGAATGAGAGAACCTATAGTTTTTAAAAAGACTAAAAGTATGTATCAAACAGTGTTAGCAGGTGAATCTAATTTGGATCCTTATTCAAATAAGATGAAAGTATCATTATTTATATTTATGAGAAAATTAGATATCTGAACACTGATTGGGTGCTATTAACATGCAAAACCTCTGATTGGCTATCTGATATTAACATGCAAAACCTCTCTACACAGGAGACTCTACAACACTGTTAAGAGAAAGTAAAGAAAATCTAAATAATTAAAAGTAGATAACATATTCACAATGCTGCCATAATTTGAAATGCTTGCTTACAAGGTTGGCCCTTGGCTATTGTCTGAGAATTTGGATTTTGGGAGGTTTCCTACCATTCCCTAACAAGAATGGCTCACAGTGCCTAAACTGTGCAAAAAATACGGTATATGCTGAATACCTGTCTTGGAAGCCTGGAAATTTGGTACCTGTTAGAGGGTATTTATGTAAATAACTCCCAATAAAAACTTTGGATACTAAGTCTCTAATGAGCTCTCCTGGGTAGATATTTCATGCATGTTGTCACAACTCATGTTGGAAGTATCACCATGTGTGACTCCACATGGTGAAGATTCTTAAAAGCTTACAGTTGGTTTGTTCCAGACTTCACCTCATATGCCTTTTTCTCTTTGCTGAGTGTGCTTTACAAACAATGAACTGAAAACTGGAGGGGGAAAAAAAATCTACACCTATTTTACAAGTCAGGAAAAAAATCTCTTTAAGAGACAAAGGACAAACGGGCAATTATCAAAAGAACGCAAATGACCAGTCAACATGTGGGGACCAAAACTACACCCTCAAATGAATTTTTCACATATAAAACTAGCAAAATATGTTCAAATTAGCAAATGTAAGGGAAATACACATTCTTACATTCTGATGTTAGAAGATAAAATGGTATTCCTTTTTGGTAGGCAGAAGGTAATATGCAGAAGCCATAAAATGTGTGTACTTCACAAGCAAACAACTCAGTGGGATTTGGTTCCTTGGTTTGGAGATTTAGTGTCAAGGTTTCATGGGACATCACAGTTAGTTAGCCTAATAAAGTGTTTAATGCTTCTGTTCATTGCATAGTACCTGAGATGTTAAAAGCTTGCAAGCAGCCATCCAAGGCACAATTTGTTTCTATTCACCTGGTACACCAGAAGGAAGAGAGTCAGGAATAGGAGGAAATGGAACATGTGGCTAACTGCCTCCATAAACAATTGCCTCCTCTGCCATGAGACCACAAGAACTGGATGGTGCCCACCTACATTACTGGACATTTTCATCAAAGATTCCATAGAAGAATCCTAATCAAAAGCAGGAAAACGCAGAACAGAATTTGAAAGTCTCATGGAGTCCAGATTTTCTGAAGGCATAGAGAGTGTAGGAACCTCTGAAATGACTGTCCTAAAATAATCTTTAAACTTTAATCTGAAAATATCCCCTGAAGTCTTCTTAAAACCAAACAACAGTTTAGCGTAACTAGGTAAAAAAAAAGTCTTAAGCATTACGCTCTTTTAAGAACGATCTCTACAGAATCAAATTGACAACAGCAATTCAAAAGATTAGATAGGAACCTTAGGGAGCAATGAGTTTATATTAACGAGAGAGGAACAACTCAGAAAAGAAGGGTGAGAATGGCTGCACAACTCAGAATGCAATCAGTGTCACTAAATTGTACATGCAGAAACTGTTGAGTTGGTGTATGTTTTGCATGTATGTTCTCAACAACAACAAAATTAATAAAATTTAGTTACAAAAAAGCATGTATATTGTTTGATCTAGCAATGGAATTTCTTCAGAGTGTTTATAATACATAAAAACTGTAAAAAATGTACTAAATATTTCATTAAATGAACTATGGCACATTGTTATGACGGAATAACTATAGCTGTTAAATATACTATTGCTATTTAATAACAAAGAAAAGTCTTTACAATATAGTGAGTGAAAATAAGTCAAGTTGAATGTAAGCTTCATGAAAGTAGGAATTTTTCTTCTTCATAGCTACATACCTATCATCGAGAATCATCTACAATTAGATAGTATAAAGTAAAAAAATATTTGCTGATTTCCAACACAATTATAAATGCATAACAACTTAAGATAAATTAGGTAACTTGGAGTTATAAAAATAAAATACTTAGGGCTCATCAAAAGACTATCAGAAGATTAAGAAGAACCTAGAACTTATAAACTGGGAAAAAATTTCCAGGAATGACATATCCAGTAAGGGTCTATTTTTAAAATATAATTAATGACTCAATAATAAAAAGACAAACCAATTAAAAATGGGCAAAGGACATGAACAGATATTTCATCAAAGAAGACATGCAAGTGGCCAACAAATACATGAAAAGAAGCCCATGATCATTAGCCATTAGAGAGATGCAAGTCAAAACTACAATGAGATACTATATCACCCCTGCAAAAATGGCACTGCTTTAAAAAAAAAAAAAAAAATGCTGACAAGGATGATGGGGAGAATGGAGCACTTATCCACTGCTGGTAGCACTGTAACAGTACAACTATGGAAAACAGTATGATACTTCTTGTGGGTGAAGTGTGCAGAGCATGACCAAGGTATATGATGTTACTAAGAGGTACACACAAAAAAAGGGCATTTTGGGTAAACGTTACGACATATACAATTTTTCAACAACCAAATATTAGGTGTGTAATTACATATGTATGTATGTATGCATAAATGTGTATAGGTATGTATACGTGTGTGTGACGCATGTGTGGAAGATACTGCTTAGACACAATCAGACATCTTGAGGGATAGGCTTTCTAGGTTTGAAGGCTTATATTCTACCATCTAATTTGGTGAGTAGTGTCTGAGGTCTTAAAAGCTTCCAAGAGGTCATCTAAGAAGCTTGCTATTGCTCTCTATTGTTCAGGAGCAAAAAAGAAAGAAAAGAAGGAAATCAAAGACTCAGAGATGAAATTAGTCTACAGAACTAATAGTCTACATGAACTAAGGCATCATCTACCCTGAGACCAGAACTAGATGGTGCTTGGCTACCACTACCAACTGTTCTGATATGGTACCAACTGTTCTGATCACAATAGATGGATCCTGACAGAATAGGGGGAAAACACAGAACAGAACTCAAATTCTTACAAAGTCCAGACGTACTGGACCAGTTGAGACTAGAGGACTTCTTGATATTGTCATCCTGAGAAACCTTGTCACCTGAACTGAAACTATCCTAAGGTAACCTTTTAGAAAAGCTAAATAACAAATTTGCTCATAAAATAAAGAATATCACCTATGAGTAATACACTCCTTTAAAAAAAAAAATCACCTGTATGAGATCA